ACCCATAGAAATCCTGAATAAATCTTCAACTTTTAAAATTATAATAATAATACAATAAATATTGAAAATGTAAAATTTGTAACATGTATAACCTTTATTTTTCGTATACCAAACGCATTTCATATAATGTTTCCAAGTAAATATTCTTATATTTGACCAAAAAATTTCAACCAAGTTTATGATATTATATTAATCTATGGACATCCATCTTTTAGTGGATTCTTCATCCAAAATTTTGGTTTAGATTTTAGGAAGACTTAGAGACGTCTTTACAAAGGAAATGGTTGTTCTTTCTGTATATTTAGCTAGTTGCATTAAACGTTAATGATTTTTTCTCAAAGAAATGGAGGGGGAGACTCTAGAGTTAATTAAATATACTTCATTATGCACCAAAAAATGTGAGAAGATGAAGAAAGCATTGGAGTGAGATGTGATGTGAGGGTGCACATCCTTGACCAGAAGAGACTATTATGACAAGACGTTGTTCAGACACTACAAAATGGGAAGGTGAAGAAGACTTAAGCCCTAAGGTCATCCAGTTCCGTTTACTTGTAATTTAAAATTATTATTTTGTTCTAACTTTCATATTATATTTTAATTTGTTTTTGTTATTTCCAATTTTTGAACCCGGCACTTGTAAATATTCAATTCAAAACTATAACCAAATATATATTAATAACATTTTATATAAATTATTATACAAACATAAAAAATTAAAAGAAAATAAAAATATCAATCACACGTATAACTTAATTTAGGTAAGATATTGCACTACTAATAAATTAGTTTCAATTTTATTGAGAGGCCAAAAAATTTATCATATTTAATTAGAGTGAGGCAAAATAGAATTTTTATAAAAATTTAACAGAATTGGATAACCTTTGGGCTTAAAGGTGGTTTTTTACTATTTCCCACAAAAAAAATTTAGTAACTTTGATAGCTAACAAAAAGTGAGGGATAGTTTAGTTAATGTAGAACTATTTATTTTCTTATACTAATAAAAGATTCTAACCATTATAGGATTGATGATCAGTCTGTTGTCTTTTGTCCACTTATTTTTATCTTTGAAAAGTTTATAAAATTATTATTATAGAATTCACAAATCCATTTTCATTATGCACAAATCATGATAAATTAAATAATATTTTGTGTTGGTGTCCAATATTGTACTAATTCTTTCACATACATAAATATTCCATCGTATCCTATTAAAAATTGCATACAACAAGAAAACTAATTTAGACTCTCCCAAATCCCAATGCCAACTTCTAGGTGTTTGTGTCTACCGTAGGACTAGAAATTATAGAGAATAAATTGATAAGCGTGGAAACTCTTTATTTATGCTAAAGACTAATTGTATTCGCATGGAAAATTAGCCCATTTACACCAACTTCTACTATATTAATTTCATCGTACTGTAGCTGATAGAAAGACTTCTGTAGTGTGAGTCAATGGTCAAAAGTTCTACAGCTTAAGGCTCCGTTTGATTCACAATTTTGTGTTTTTGGGAAAAGTCTTTTAAAAAAAGTTAAAAAAAAAGTTGAATTGGACGGGTATTACGATGTAGGATTTACAAATTTAAAATACCCCTTATGTTTGTTTTTTTACAAAATACCCCTTATAATAAAATATTAAAAGTTAACAAAAACACCTCCAATCCACCCCCAAATACGGACAGCCGGCCACCACCGCCGGAAGGTGGCCGGAGTCGCCGTAACAAAAACATTAAAAATATTTAGGGGTATTTAATTGAATTAACAAATTTAGGGGGTTTAAAAAATGTTGAATAAAGTTGAATAATATTGTTAGTTTTTTGGTATTTTACTGTTTAACTTTTTTGGGAATACTAAAAGTAGTATTCCCAAAATCCAACTAAACGAAGCCTAAATGTTTCTATTTTTTTTTCTTTTTTTCTTCGGTCTAATTTCACTTTAAGAAAAATTAGCAAATAAAGTTGAAAGGGAGAGAACCATTTTTGTTACTATAGATTAGTTGAAAAAGTGTCTATCAAATACTAAATGAAGATTCCAGCTCAACTTCGTTAGCTAAATAGTTAGAATACTTGTCTGTACCCCTTTACTTTGAAGGCCCCAGCTCATTTGTTTCGTTGCTGGAGAAGGAAAAGTGGGTGCCTGACAAGTTAACGCCTTCATAAATAATTGTCTTGTTAATATTATTCATAAAAATTCAGGAAACTTGACCCGAAAACTAGAGATATTCCATATTACGTAATGCTTTTAAATTTTGAATGTCAAAAAGTTTATAAAGATATCTATTTTTCAGCATTATTTTATTTTCTATGTTACCCACTACTCAATTCAGTCACTTCTGAAATAACAACAAAAAAATTTATAAAAAATGTTTGACCCTAACTAATTTATCATTATCATCACTTATGTATAATTTAATTATCATTCTATTAAAATTAAAGGTTTTGGCACCCTTGACTATTCCAAGAAATTACAAGGAGACAATAATATTGTCGATTGTCTTAAGTATAATAAAATGACATCTAGAATTACACCACATTAACCAGATAGCAAATGATGATAAGCAACCATTAGCAATCTTTTCTAGAGACGTCCCTCTCTTTAATTTCATTATTCATTAGTGTTGACAACTGGACGATGGAATGTCAGGATTTGGTATGATCAAGATCACAATATTATTAGTAACAAAATATTGTTTCCATTTATGTGTTGATTGTGTAAATATTTGTATTTATTTGTTTCCTTACATATTACATCCTTCATGTATAAATTGTACCATTGATACAATGAAAATACTATACAAAAACACTTTTACAGAAATTATTCTTCATTTACATTGCTTTATTTTTCTTGGGCAATCTCTACAACTTGTTGCTGCTCTTGCCTTTATTATTTCTTCCCGGCAGTCTTAAGTAGTCCAACTACTGCTTTTGCCGCTTCTTCTTCAGATGGTAACATGGTATCAGAGCAGGCTGTCTAGCAAATCTTTCCTCACTGCTCTATTCTCCTTGGTCCAATCTCGTCCACTGTTGTTGCCTCACCTGCAAACAAAAATCCAGTTTAGTTCATCTTCTTTGCCAAACCAAAAATGGAACCCATCACACCAACTAAAGGCCTAGATTCAACCAACCCACTCAACACTTAGCCCAACCCAAAGGCCCAGACGAGCCCAAACACTAAAACATGCCCAAATACAGAAATGGACCCAAACAACCAAATTGACCCAACGGGCCCACAAACCCAAACCCATCATTCCATCACATCGGGCCACAAACTGGCCTAAATTCATTCGGGTATACAGGTTCTGGCCCAAACCCATTTCCCTACCAATTCTGGATTATCCAGCCAAATCATCGCTTGCCGGAGCCTCGTGTTGCCCTCTTTTCTTCTTCACTTGACGGACCAAATCTAGTTCTCAACAAGCAACCACTCACTGGATCAGAAACTTACGTGACGTGGGCTCGCGATTTCCGATGAGCTCTAATCAACAAAGACAAAGATGGGTTTACGAAGGCTGTTTATAGTTCGACGAAGAGCGTCCCACCCCCACGTCAAACGCTGATGCTCAACGCTGCCGTTTTGGTCGTCTTCGATCTCCTTCGCCTTCTTCACCATAAATGGGGGAAGATAAACCCCTCCAGTACTAGTCTTTCTTTTGCTTCCCTATCATCATCTTCTTCATCTCTCTACGAAACTTGTACGACTGATGCAACAGAGACAAAATTAATGATTAATATCCTTAATTAATTAGAATTAAATAATTATGTTTAAGTAATGTGGTAATCTTCAAGAACAAAAAAGCATCAAGATTATTTGGTTACCTTTAACAAAAGTAGAAGAGAGTACAAGAAAAAGCATCAAGATAAAGTTAACTTCTATGTTGAATCTCCATGAATTTTCTTAGTAAAGTGAAGAAGAACTTAGTAAAGTGTGCAGAGTTCAGCTGTGTGTTCAGTCCAAGTTCTCAGGACGCTTTCTATGTACAGTGAGTACCTCCTTCTTAACTAAATCCAGCTCATTTGTAATATTAGATTCGAATGGTAATTCAACATATTAATGTCCGATCACATTCTAATGAAAGGTTCATCTGATGATCATTAGAACAAACCTTGTCGATTGGTAATAGAACTAGGCCTCTATATGCTGTTGAGGTAGCGGAAAATATAACATCTACTGACAATTCATCCTCTAAATGGAAGAAATATCCTAAATTCAAAGAACCTTCTTTTTCTCTTCTTTTTTCTTTTTTCTTGATTATAATAAGAGTTGTAAAGGATCAGTTTAACATTCCTAACTAAGTAGATTATTAATGATTACAGCAAAAACTTGATCATTGCCAATGTGATTCAAGATCTCAATAAGAGCTGAGGTTAAATAACCAGCAGATTCAGGAGCTAATTAAAAGCAGAAATGTCAACTCACTAATACCACACTCTTAAACACATCACTTCACTGTCTTACTGAACATTCAATCCTCTTCTTCATCTTTTTCCTCTTCTTTTTCTTGATATTCATCATCTTCTTCATATTCTTCTACTTCTGCTTTTTCTTCTCATGCTTCTTCTTCACATTCTTCTTAATTAGTGACAACTTCGTTAGTTTCTCAAAAAAAAATTCATCCTCCTCTGCATCTCCCTCGTTTACTTACTTCAATCATTCCTTGTTACGGATGCAAGCTGGTAATTCAAGCTGCAACAACTCTGTTCTCCAGCAAAGCTGCAGCAACTCTGTTTTCCAGCAAGCTACAGCCACTCTGTTCTCCAGCAATCTACAGCCACTGATTTCTTATCTTGGTAAATCACGTGGACTGTCAACTCAGATCATTTTGAAACTATATAAACCTTTTGTAAAAACCAGTTTCGGTAGTCAATGAAAAAACAAAAGTTCAGTTCTCTCTCTCAAAATTTTCTGTTGTTTCTCTGGAAAGTTTTACACTTTCTGGTTTTTTTTCATTCAGTCATAAGATTTTCCCACTCCTTGCCATAACGGCATGATGTACCTCCCACTTAATATCAATTCCTTCTAATTGGAATCAAGTTACATTAATGTTTCTTTTAAACTGTGAGATTCTTCTAGAATCAGGAAGAAAAACTGGGAAAAATTGAAGAGGAAAATATTTTCATTGATTGATTAACTGAATAAAAGAATAACGCGCGCGGCCTCTTTTATATAGCCGTAGATACAAAACGCTGCGTTTCTACAGAACTTCGATTTCTGACATTTTAATCCAGATTAAGTTTTACTACTTCGTTCAATCCAGGCTACTTTCCAATATTGCATTTTAACCCAGACTGTTCCTAAGCTTGTGTCTTGACAGTTAAGGGGATTGATGGCCAGCTGGTGCTAGTATGAACCTTGATTTTAGCTTTCTCCCATTTATCAATACTCCGCATGCATAGCTGCATCAAATTAATTGAATATAAATAAATTATTAAGTAACAGAAAACAAAAACCCAGAGATAACAAAGAAGAGAAAGCTTCAACTTGATTTTTGGGACCCTGATTGAAATTCAACAGCATTTAGAAGTGACTGGGGGAAGCCATGTTTGAGACTTGTAGTAAATTAGAGTCTTTCCTCATTTGTATGATTGACTATTCTTTTAAGTGTAGTAAATCATATATAACTTATACAAGTTTTTCCTACCCACAACTTATTTTGATTTAACATTAAAGCTAAGGGATTTGAACTCAAATTACTTGGCTCACTTGGCATGATATCATGTTAAATAACCACTTGATCTAAAAGCCACATCAAATACCTAAGCTTATCTATAAGAGCCTAATAATGGTATTTAAGCTATGACACTAACCAACATAACCAGATTGATGTTCAAAAATAATTCTAAAAGAGCATTTCTGTGGAAAGATCTTCACATTAGAGATCCCCTCAAAACAATTTGATTCTTCAACTTCACCTATTCAAACGACAACAGCTTATATTTGGGCAGTTCTCACTTCTCAACACCTATTGCTGAGAAGGTAACATCCAAGAAGATTATAATTACATAGTAATTCAACTATGTTTAGAAATTTTACCAAAGAAAAGGCTCATCATATGCAGACATTGATAAGTAATTTACTCCCTAAGTAAGCAAAAGTTCATAGAGCAAACCCTTAATGGTTCAAATGTGCTAGGTATCTTACTCTTGACAAAAAAATTATAGCATCTCAATTAAACATAAGTAAGAACAACTAATAACCGTAAACATTAAGATATTAAATTTTATATTAGTCAGGCACTAACCTGAGCATCAGCCCCTGAAACACCAGTGCATTTAAAGTTTGGGATATGAAAGCCCTGTGATTCGATTTTGGTGACCCTTAAATTTGGTTCTGACCTACCAACAACATCCAACATTAGTTAGGCTTCCACGTTATATGTCATGCAGTAAGCTTTAGATAATCAAGAAAGCTATTGAATAGATTATTAAGATAGCTATACTTGAGCTTTGACAATTTTTGGGCTGGTTTTTTCTATTGTGGTGGACTCGTGTTTGTCTTTTTGTACTTTCTTGCATCTGTGTTTGTTCAGAGATTATACGTTTCATTTCCAAAAAAAAAATTCAGTAGTTCTTATGGAATTATACTAACCATCAATTCCTTACAACAAGATAATAACAATAAGACTTTCCCTCTAATGAACAAAGCTAAGAGGCATAAATCAGATTGTATGGTAAGGTAATGATTCAGTCAAACTAGAATAAAATTTACGTTAACAATCTCAAAATATCATCGTAATCAACAATAAATTGACACTAGCAATAAATGGAGCAAAATTCAATTGAACATATCCTTTGAGCAGTTATACATAAAACTAGCTTCAGAAATTAAGTAAAGAAAACGACAAATCAAGTGAGAAACTTCACCTCATCAACTCTGATATTCTATATCTCAATGGTAGAATCCTCCATCCCAATGGCAATAATATTATTTTCTTGAGGATGGAATGCCAAAAGGTAGTTGCCAAAGGTGAGGGCATAAACATTGTCATGACCTGAGACACTGTAAGCAATCTTATTTAGTCATGTGGAATCTCAAAATATTGCAAAAGCATTATCTCAAGCAAATATTGTTGAACAGGTAGGAAATACAGAGTTCAAATTTGGATAGGTGCAATAATTTACCATGAATGTCATCATGTTGTACAAGGAAACCTTTCCACCAAGGCAAACATAACGGAAGAATCATTTTTGGATAAAGCGATGCATGCAACATCCTCTTCAGCTGGTTTACCATCACTTATGTCATTGGTCATAAGTGTTCCATTGGGAGGTTGCGACAACTAGGGCGCTACGTATGTAATAGCCTGACAAGTTTGCAATAGACATTAGAAATGTCAAAATATAAAAACAAAAGAAATTTGCAAATGGAAATCTGCGCGAGGGACTCCTTTCACTACGCTGCCATTTCCACAGCTTGTGAACATATGATATTTATAATTTTATCCAGTTTGGGGCTGATAATGCTAGCCTCTAAAGAGCTGATGTTTATAATTTTACCTTCCTATGTGTTATACTTTCTATATAAATTATTTTTTTAAACAAGCTCAAATAATGACATGAGAAGAGGATTACGATTTCTAGATAACTTCTTAATGGATCACAAATATTTTTTGAATATACAAGAAAAGCAACACATCAACAAACATGCACAAACTACCTTGGAGTTGATAGGTCCAGAAGGGGCCTGATTTTTGTCAATAGCCCAGCTATCTAAATTCTTATTGTGGAGAAATATTTTCTTGTATTTTCATAATGAAATGTACAATGAATTTATAGCAAAAATAAAAAACTAATCTAGGAAGTAAATTGTTACACTCCTATTATAATTCTATTTCCTATTCCTATTATAATTCTATTTCCTATATTACAAAGAGAATAATTCTATTTCCTATATTACAAAGAGAATAATTCTATTTCCTATATTACAGAGAGAATAATTCTATTTCCTATTTTACATTTCAACACTTATCAATCGCAAACCATCACTTTTGGCTAAAATTTTGATACCATTGTCACTCGTTGTAACTGCAAGTGGAGATCCTTATTAAATCTTAGTCTAGGACTAGCCTACAAAGAATAGAATTGAACGAACAACTGCTACGTATCTACTGTTAAATACCATTGGTGTACAAGTAAACAGTATGACTATAAACCGGCAATCCATTATCCGCATCAACAGCATTTAACATATTTGTATTGTCCATATCCCAGAATTTAATTTGAAATTCATCACCAGTAGCCAAAAACGGATTCCGTGTTGTACCGAACTGGACAACACCTAAAGAGCAGTTTCTGGAACCAAAATATGTCCTTTTGATAGCTCATTCACTCTCATTCTACTCAACTAAATGAGATTCTCCTTCTTTACTTGTTTCGCTTGAGAAGAGCCTACAACTAAAAATATATCAGTCATATTCCATGAAGATGATGTAAAAACGGTTACAAAATAATGGCACATCGAAGGCAGAGAAGTGCATAAAAAGTCTAGCAACAAAGGATCCTCAACAGATAAATGATACACATCCTTTGTAAAACAAGATATTATCAGAAACTTCAATGAATCATTAAATAAAGTATCATGTGCACAAACAATATGAGAAATCACCAAATTATATTGGCCTGTGTCCGTTTTAAAATTAACCAAGCTTTACCTGGTTCCATCTGGACTATATGCCATCATGGTGCACTAGTGTCTAGGAGCGCCATAGTTCACTCTAGATCCCAAGCAATCATATAGCCAAGCTTTTATCTTTCCATCAATGGCAGTAGAAAAAATAAACTGCACATTTCAAGATAGGAAGATGGATAATATGAGATTCAAAGTGATGGTAGCCATCTTATTCCTATAAGGTAGTTAGCATATAGAAAAAGATGCTAACTCAGGTCACCAATAACAAAATAGACGAGTTAAATAAATATTGACCTGAGTATTTGCTTTGTGCTGAGGGCAGACCAAATACACAGGAGCTTCATGGCCTTCAAACGTATACTACCTGTGTCCAACTACAGCATCCCATGCCTATCACAGAAGAAACTTACTCTAAGTATCCCAACAAGTCAAACTCATTAATAGGGAGAAAGTTGCAGCGAGGATATATCAATTATGTTTTCCCTAGAGAAGCAGGTTACACCCTTTTAAGATGATACCTTAATAGTTTATCATCTCCACATGTAACGATACACACTTTCTTGTTGGGATGAGAAAATGCAATGTCACTAACTCCACTAACATGGACATCGATCTAAAAAAAAAAAATGGAGACAAGTGATCAATAAATTGTACCTAGCCATTTTTAAGGAAGAACTGATATTCAGGATACAGAAGTTACCTCTAAGTGCTGTCTTAGTTCTTGAGTTGGATTGTAAGTATATATCTGAACTATATGTTTTGAAAATGCAACACCTAGACAAAGCGCAATTTGATTAAGAGAAAAGATAAATATAATGAACTAGGGATATGATTCATATTCACAAGCAAAGAATGCATATAAATACCAAGGATAAGTCCATCTGGCCCCCAAACACACCAATTCATCAATATTGCAGTATCATTCAACAATTCCTCTGGTAGTACAAGTTAATTAATGAAGAGACAAGAATCAGTCCATGTTATATTCCAAAAATTGTTGGCCATGGTCAATATGAAAGTGTTTGCCAATCAAGCCAACAAGTATACTAAATCCAATGTTCATAAGTATTAGGTGAATTATTAAATTCATTGTCAAGATCAAACTGATAGAGGATAAAGATTTCATGCATTGTACTCTTTGGAAGTTATGCTGGTGAATACCTGCAATGGCATTGAAGCAGTTGATATATCCCAAACCTTGAAAGATTTATGTGCCAGCCTTTCTCAGGATCCCACCTCCCAAAGGCTAATGTCACCAACATTTGTGCCCACTACAGACCAAAGAACAGAAACTCAATCAATAATGAATGATCTCTGGAAAATTTTCTATAAATTTTTTAGCAACCAGACATTAAACAGTGGTTTTTTTCTAATTTTTTACCAAGAAGAATAGCTTGCTGCTATGGATGAAAGTCCATGCTCATGACATTAGATCCTTGATTTATGGTTCATACAACAGCTTTAGTGAGGTCATCTTGAGAATATATATACGGTGGGAGTATGTGATACACTAGCAAAAGACACCTAGAAAGACAAAAAGATAATAAGAGATGAGAAAGGAATAAGAGAATTGTTACAAGAAGCTAAAATAAATGCCATTTAGAAATTTATAGCTGCTATCAAGCTTGAAAAACCAACACATTATCTCACTCATCCACACCTCGTCAGATTGGCCAGCGCGGATACGCTTCATTATCAAATGCTCTGAATTAGCTGATTGATAATCCATCCCAGTCATACCAGTTGGCATCCTTGGATATTTCAAGAATGCACCTATAGACATCCCAATAAAAATAAATAAATAAAAGATTAGAGTAATTCAACCAAACATATTAAGCCTAAAGAGGGGAAAAACAATGCAAGCTACACAATTACAAGTGTCGTAGCAACCAGCAACAGCACCAGGAGATGAGGAACCAACAATCTGAAATAGTTGCACAGTAAGAATCATACAATTATTATTTGAATATGCAACAATGTTTTATATAGCAGGTAGAGGCAAAATACTTACACCATGAGCACCAATAGGCAGAAATGCACCAACCTCAGGAGTTGATCCCACAAGGGGGCTACTTGTAGGAGGAGGACGAGCTCCGTTAGCCGTAGGGTTGCAAGAATGATCAGTGAAGAGCATTTTAATATCAGGGTTTGGACGAGAATTCTTGCAAAGTTGATGCTGCCAATTTAAACTGAATTTTCTTTTTAAAAAGAAGTGAGTTCTACAAAATAAGTCTCATCAAGAGTAGGTAAAATCATCTGCAAGTGTAAATGATATCACTCACTTTACAAATATAAGAGCATAAGCGCAAACCCAAAGTAGAAATCAACTAATATATATTATAACAATACACATAAATATTTGCAAAATGGATTCTCTAGGTTTTGTTTTTACCAAAAAAACTAGATGCAGCACATTGGCACAAAATAATTAATTGATATGAAAAGATTCAAGAATAACCTTTGGTTTATTAATGTCCTCAATCGTGAACTTTAGAAGGCTGGATCCTGCTTGATAAAATGAAGGCAAAAAATTGAACATTGTTATGCACATATGGGTTAAAACTCTACATATGAAAACAAAACTACTTCCCTCTTAATGAATGGCTGAGGCGAAGATCCGACAAAACTGTGAAGCTCAAGCAAAGATTGGGTCGGACTTTGAGTAGTCGCTGACCGCTTTGCCGCCCCCAGATAAAGCCCTCGTCGCCAGACATTGGATTGTTTTGTTTTGTTTTTTTTTTTTTAATTTTAAGACTTAAATTCAAATATTGAATATATTACAGGGTTAGGCTTCTAGTTGAATTGTTGAAATAAGCAAACAAAAGGCAATTGAAAAGAGCCCATAAAAACAATAAATTAAAGGAATTAAAAAAGTGAAAAAGAATTAGATCTTTCGTTACTGAAAGATGGCCCTTTAATCATCTCACTTAACATAACACAAGGAACATGAGCTGGAATGCAAAGAAAATTATGTGAGGCATTTCTGAAAGTGTTGCCTTAACCAATACTTTACGAAAATGAAATTGAATTTAGTTTCTTAAAATTTGAGACGTTTTTTGATTTCTGAAACCGCATTTCCAAGATGCTTAGCTCATGAAGATGAACTTCGTAAAGTACGGAGTTCCAACTCAGCTTTCTGATCAGAACACTTATCTATAGTACGTCCCCTGTCACCTGTTGAACAAAACATAAGCTAAACTTAGCACACCATGTCAATTGATAAATTAATGGAAAATAAATAAGCATATATGTTTAGGGAACTCATCTACTACCACACATTTACCACATGCTTTCATGTGCGTTGATGAACTCTGAACAATCTGTAATCATAAAGAACAACACATTAATAGTAAAAGAAAATGAGGAATTTTCTCAACAACTACTTGAATATATGGTTCAAAAACATGTATAAATTGACTTTAAGGAAACATAAATTATAATGTATGCGTTTGGTTTAATATTTTTATCCCTATTCTGGATCCTATTTTTCAAATAGCGTTTGGTACAATATTCTCAAAATATTACCTTATTTTTTTAATTACATTTTAACCCCATAAGGTTATTAATTTCACTAAATACCCCCTGAAAAAAAGTTTAAAAATTAACAAAAACACCCCCATCAACCCAACTTGTCAGATTCCGGCAACCACCGTCGGTGATAGCCGGAATCTGTACAACGGCCAAACTTCCGACCAGAAATGGCCGAAAGTTCACCGCTGTGGCCTTTTCCGGCCAGATCCACCACGGATCTGGCCGGAAAAGGCCAGATCTGGCCGTCAGCGACGGCCAAAGAAATGGCCGTCGTTGACCGAAAACGACGGCCACATCTTTGGCCGTCGCTGACGGCCAAAGATGGCCGTCGTTTGGCCTTTTCCGGCCGTCGACGGCCAAAACAAACCGTAGATCTGGCCTTTTCCGGCCAGATCTACCATGGATCTAGCCGGAAAAGGCCATAACGAAGTGTTACGGCACAGATCCGACAAGTCTGTGCCGTAACAAAATTTTACGGCCAGATTCCGGCGGTGGTGGCCGGAATCTGACACTGCAGATGGTGGGGGTGTTTTTGTCATTTTACATGTTAGGGTCTTTAGTTAAATTAGTAAACCTAAGGGCTTTTTTATAAATTTTTAAAATTTACCTCGTAATACTCCCATATCCAATAACCCAATACTACCCCTAAAATCCTATCCAAAATACTAAACCAAACGCACCCAATATTGTTGCTTCTGTATGTATACTTGGTAGTTTATTATTGATTCACTTAGAGGATTTTATTTAAAGACAAAATCAATAATAAAGACCATTGAAGATTGACTAGTATTAATTCAATTAAGAAGAACGAAGAAATCTACAGAAAAAAGTATATTGTTAAGTAGATGAATACTTACCATTTTGTAATTGTTTTATGATTGTATCAATGTCACTCTTTGAACAACCTTTGAAGTTCAAATATTTTAACCTTGGCATGCTTAAGCCTCCTCCAGAGAAAGTCTTCATCTTCAAGCATGCACTCACAAATAAATTTTCCAAGAATGGGAATTCTAAGGTGTAATTCCCAGAGCAGAAGCATGTGAGACTTTCTAAATTATGAAAATGCAAATTCCTCAATTTCTTAAAAACAATTTCAGCTTTCTCTATATCTCCCTCATTTGCTAATACTTTTGTCATCATTTCACATCCAACTATAGTCAACTCTTCTAGTCGCACCAGACTTTTGGCTGTTGAAGATGACATTAAGTTTTGCATTCCATTGCAATACCTTACCCTCAAACTCGTTATATTTTCAAAAGATGCTAAAGATGGCAATAGGACAGTCAAACTTGGACAATATTGCACCACTAGACGATCAAGATTTTGAAGAATTGAGTTCAATCGAAAGTCTTGTTTCCAAATGCACTTTAAATTAAAAAGTCCATGCAATTCTAAATCTTTTAATTTTGTGAATGCTCCAGTGTGTTCCTTATCCTCTCCAAATAAGAATATCTCTTCGTATGAACTCACTTTCAATATGAGTTTTTCAAGATTGTTAAATTCCTGAAGGATTTGAATTGGGATGTTTGCATATTCATCCTTAATCAATTGAAGAATTTCTACTTTATCAAAGTTCTCTTGAATCTCTCCTTCCCTAATCGACATGATGTCCCTTCCAATTAATGTCAATTCCTTCACATTGAAGTCAACCTAAGCAAAAATAATGTCAATCAAATTAAAATTAATATTTCCCATATATATATATATATACACACACACACCAAGGAGAAAAATAATAAATAATGAATTATTGGTTGTTAGAAATAAATTTAGAAAACAGTGTGGTTTTAGAAATTTCTTAAAAAAAATATAGACGGAGTTTGTTGTATCCTAGTAGTGAAGTGAGGTGTCTAAGTGCTCAACCTATACACAAAAGGAAAATGCTACGCTTACAATATTTTCTCATAACTCAGATATGACAGTTTGCAAATTAGTCAACTTGCAATAGGTATCACCTAATAATTTGTGGTTGAGCAATTGTGAACTGCTATGTCAGGGTTGTGAAAGAAATTTTATGAGAAGAGGTTGTGGTTGTGGTATTACTCATACACAAACTAAGTTTAAAAATAATTTATTATGATTAATGCTAAAAACATGATATTATTAAAAATAAATGCAGAAAAATATTTAAACTAATTAATTGAATGCTCACAAGTCATAAGGTATAATAATCTCTGAAAGGCATAGGGCCAAACTAATAGAACTAATAATAATATTTAAAGTAATTAATTGAATAAATACCTGTTTTTGTATGGTTTTATTAAGATCATTCCCCTCATTCTCTACATGCATTGTCTCCCAATCCTCTTTAGTCTCATTAAAGATCTCATAATTGACTTTCTGCAACATTGGTGTGCTTAAGATTCCTTGAGAGAAAGTCTTCATATTGGGGCATTCTCTTATAATTAACTCTTCCAAAGATGGGAAATTGAAAGAGTAATTCCCATAGCAAAAGCATGTGAGACTTTCTAAGCCTTCCAGTGACAACGTCTTCAAATTGTTAAAAAAAAATTCAGTACCCGTTGTTGCATCTCCTTCATTTTCTACTATTTCAATCAGCATTTCACAATCATAAATGCTCATTACTCTCAACTGCAGCAAACTTCTAGTTATTGAAGGTGTTATTAACTTAATCAACCCATTGCAATTGTTAACGCTCAAAACTTCAAGATTCTGGAAAGAAGCTGAGGATGACACTAGACTCGTCAATTTGCTACAATCCTCTACATCTACAACTTCAAGGTTTGGAAGATTTGGAAAGAATAGCTCTTTGTATTTATTGTCATATAGCTTGAGCTCTTTCAGATTTTGAAAGTTTTGAAGGAGTCCAAGAGAAATATTCGCTGAGTTATCATATCTGATCTCAAGAGCTTTAGATTGACTCTGCCAACTAATTTCTGCGTGGTCATTCTTTGATTCAAGTACCTCCAAATCGTGGTTGATCTACAAATCCGTCACAAACAAAATCCAACTAGCTTTTTAATTATATACTTAAAACAAAAGTTTAGTTATTGGCTAAAAAGTCATAGGACAAACCCAATCAAATTTTGACAAATCAATTACAATCTATTTTAAAACTAGTAAATTATATTTTAAATTTTAATTTGTGAACAAATGTTTCATTTATGTGATTTTACCAACTACACCCTCTGAAACCAAAAACTACATATAAACCTCCGCCTGTTGTCTATTAAATTAGGAATTTTATTTTGTTTGACCTATGTAAATACAAAGTTACCTTTAGATTTTTTGCAAACTGACTAATTTATCCTTTAAAAATAAAAATAAAAATAATATTATTATTATTGTTATTATTTACAATATAAAACTATAATTTTAAGTTTAAATTATTATTTAAAAAAATATACAATTAAAAAACTACTATTTAAAAAAGCTTAAAATTAAAGTATTTGGAAAAGAAAATTTAGATCACAGCTACAATCTATTGCAAACGACTACTGATGCAGATCATAGACACAAATCGCATGGCTATGACGCAACCTTGTATTGCAGACATAATTGATGGCTATTAATTATTTTAAGAATAATTATAATTTTGTTTTATTTTTTTAAATAGTTATAGAAATTAAATTAATATACATTTCTTAGAGATTTTTTTGTCTAAATTTCTATTATTTGAACTTTCAAATTCAGTATTTAATGGTTACAACTTTAAAAATATAATTTCAGATTTTATAAATATTTTTTTCTTTATATTTTCTAATTTTTCTTTTTTAATTTTTTTTAGTTTTCCTAATTTTATCTTTAATTTTAAAATATTCTTGTTTCATATTTCCTTTTGGCATGAAATGTCAATTTTGTCCTCTTTAATGTCCAAACAGGCCCATCCTAACGAATCTATAACTGGACTTTGGACATTTTATTTATTTATTAAAACTTCTAATGTAATCTATAACATTATCAAGTACACGTAATAATTGAAAAGAAATTTGTACATAATTTATTGATAGTTACCCTAATATAATTTGATTCAAAGTTTAATTGATTTATTACTCTTGGCCGCTACCAAATCATGTTAAAAATAATTTTGAATTTATGATCCCGTTTGGTAGGCTTTCAAGTTGCAAATTTTTGTAAATAATTTTTTCAATAATAAAAGGAATCAACTGATAGACAAATATCTAGTAAATATAAAATTTTATTGTTGATTTCTAGAATTACATTAGATGATCTATTTCCTGTTTTTTTTTTTTTTTTTAAAAAAAAAAAATCTAATATGTAAATGAGTTTAAATGATAAGATCCTAAAGTAAAATTGTTCAAACTAAATAACCATTAACTTTTCCAAATTTTCTTTCCAAGGAAAAATAGAGATGTTAATAATTTCATAATAAAAGTTTTGAATAGATATTTTAATTAATATATATGAAGAAAGTTAATTTTATTTTTCTATAAACAATGAAATAAAATATTCATACCTTATCATTTAAGAAGACGGATTTTGGCTCTGAAAAATGAAGTTCACCCTCCTCGTTATTTTCTTGAAAGCTCATGTATTTTGAAGTCATGAATTTGCCACAATAATTCACCACCAACTCTTGTAACATTGGCCATTCAAAAGTATGATAGAAAGCTGTAAATTCTGGTAGATTTTCAAGCTTCAATGAGGTTACATGCAGAAAGATAAATTTGTCATCTTCATTTGCTCCTTCTTCTTTTCCAACAATCTCCTTTAAAACCTTACAATTATGTATCTTTAGATGTTGGAGTCGGTGGAGGCTTTTGGCAATGGAAGATGGAAATGCATATTTTATGTTTCCACAACTCGACAAAATCAAGTCTGTCAAATTTTGATAAAAAGGATTTGGATGTTGCTTGTAGCAAAGCTTTATAGAATTATCATCTTGGAATGTCAATAACTTCAATTCAAGGGAAATGTCCTGCAGTAAAAGTTAATAGTTGTTTCAACATAAAGTAATTAAAAGTTAACAATTATTGTTTCTAATGGATTAGAAAAATGCGTCTTTTTGTAACTCTTAATAATTTCTGAAAGGCCTAAACCCAAACTAAACAAATAAAATATAAAGTTGCATTAGTTCTCTCTCTTGCTTATAGAGCGATGCCATCCCCTAACCTACAGCCGTTTATTCAACTAGAGTCATTACTTAAAATTGTCTTCTTGTCTTCTTAGTGTTATACACTTGTATTGATAAACTAACAAAACTTACTTCAACCTACTATTACTTGCAATCTTCTAGCTAAAACATAATATTATCAAAATATATTTAAAAAATGCAAAATAAGCAAATGTTCAAACTAATTACTTGAATACATACCTGTTTTTTGTATGCTCCTTGTATGGTTTTGTTAAGATCATTCCCTTCATTCCAGCTCTCATTACTAACTTTGTGTAACTTTGGTGTGCTTAAGATTCCTTGAGAGAAAGTCTTCATATTAGGGCAATTCCATATATGTAAGTCTTCCAAAGATGGGAAATTGAAAGAGTAATTCCCAGATGAAAAGCATGTGAGACTTTCTAACTGCCAAAGTGTCAACGTCTTCAAGTTATCAAAAACAATTTTAGTACTCGTTGTTGCATCTATCTCATTTTCAACTATTTCTATCAGCATTTCACATTTCTCTATCCTCATTTCTTTCAACCGCACCAAGCTTCTAGCTGTTGAATGTGTTATTAACTTCATCAACCCCTTGCAACCCTCAACTCTTAGAATTTTAAGATTTTGAAAAGAAGTTGAGGATGACACTAAACTCATCAATTTGCTGCACCACTTTACACTTAGAACTTCAAGATTTGGAAGATTTGGAAAGAATAGCTTTTTGTATTCATTGCTATATAGTTGGAGCTCTTTTGAATTTTCCCATCTTTGAAGGAGTCCATGTGGAAAATTTGTTGACAGATCATGGTTGATCTTAAGAACGTGACCCTTCCATATAATCTCTTTTCTACCATTCTTTAATTCAAATTCCTCCAAATCAGAGTTGATCTACATATCCATTGAAACAAAATCTAATTAGCTTTTTATTTTCTTAAAACAAAAATTTAATTGTTGGCTCATAATTTATAGGCCAAACACAAATTATGGAGGGATTTAAAAAAAAAAAAAAAACGTAATTAACTATTTTTGATAATTCAACTACAATATATTTTAAAACTAGTAAATTACATTTTATTATTGTTTCAAATTACTATTTTTGAAAACTACTAATTAAACATAATTTTTAAAAAAATAATTACTTAATTCCAATACCTTCAAATCCAACTTGATCTACAAATCCATTAAAACTAAATCCAGTTAGTTTTTCATTTTCTTAAAAGAAAACTTTCATTATTAGTTTAGAAGTCTAGGTCAAGGACAAATTAGCTATTTTGTTAAACGTTGTTTTAGATTTTGACTCCTATCTGGCTCATCCTAACGATAAGTTGGACTTTGGACACACACACACACACATATATATAATATTAAAATGTATCACTTATAACCTATAACATTATAGGCATATAATATGACATTAGAAAATGTCTTACCATAACATAAATCTACAAATAATAGTAAATTAAGCACAAACCTAGGCAATTAATAATTAATTTTGATGATAAAATATTAACGTTGGGTTCCTAGTTAATAAATTATTGTATAAGGAATTAATAATCAAAGTAATTTTAATACGCTATTGAGATGTTTTCAAATTGAATTCCAAACAACACTGGTAATACTAATTATGCTAGGTTTACAATCCAATCTCACAATCTTCTCTCACAACCCTCAACGTGGCAACTCATAATTGGTCAGCTTGCAAATAGGCAGGCAAGACCATATCAAGCAGGTGAGATTCATTTGCGAACTGACCAATTACGAGTTATCACGTCGGAGTTTTTGAGAGAAGGTTGCAAGATTGGGTTGTAAATCTAACATTACTCTTGTAATAATAATGTAATTTTCAATGAAAACAAATATTTATGAGAATAAAATTTGGCATTCAAACACAACATTTTAATATATCTCCTAAACAAAAATTTAAAATAGTTTTGAAACATCATATTAAAGTTGTATTTTAATACTATAAATATGATAATACAATGAATTGCATTACAATATTTTAGAAATTAAATCTTTAATCATTGAAATTGGTTTAAATTAACTATGAGAAGGACCAAGGTAACTGCATATGATTCTTTAATTGACTAGGCAAATATATATATATATATTTGGCATGCATAGAAAAAAATGTTAATTTTTGTCATTTTCCTTATTATTATATGGGTATTTATGTCTTATATATTTTCTCTTAAATTTAATGATAACAAACGATTTTTTTGGCTATTTTAAAACTTGTGTCTTTTTTCCTATAGTTTCACAAAAGGTTGTCCTCCAATTGATGATAACCCAAGATAAAATCATATTGTCAATTTCAAGTAAACATTTGATGATTTCTAGAATTTTTTTTCTTAATTTTTTTTTTGGAAAAAGAAGAGATGTTAAGAATCACATCATAAAGTTCTGATTTATATAATATATTAAAGAACTTTTTTTCTTTTCAATAAAGAAGTAAAAAAGAGACTGTGTACCTTATTGTCCAACCCAAAGGATTTTGGCTCTGAAATATGGAGTGAATTTTCATGGAAGGTTAGATATTTTGAAGTGAATTTTTCACATCCCTTCACCACTAACCTTTTTAACATCGGCAATTCCCAAGTATCTACTCCATGATAGACAGTTGTAAGTTTTGGTAAATTTTCAAGCGCCAAAAAGATTACTTGTGGAAAAGCAAAATTAACAATATCTTCTGCTCCTTCTTCTTTCGCAACAATCACCTCTAAAACCTCACAATATTTTATCTCAAGGTGTTGTAGAGTTTGGAGGCTTTTGGCTATGCAAAATGGAAACGCATATTTTATTTTTCTACATCCTATCAAGGTCAAGCGTGTCAAATTCTGATAAGACGAAGACATAAGTGTTGGAAATTGGTTGTCCCAAATCTGTCCAGAACCAATATATTCCAATTCCAAGGCCATCAAATTGGTGAAAATAACCTGCAGTCAAAGTTGATTGGTGTTTCAATAGTTACTCATATGAAAAAAAAAAAATAATAACTAATAATTGATTCTTATGGATTTATAGATGAATATGCCATTGATATAAACAATGTGTCTTTTGTCTCTCTAAAAAATAATGAAATTTAACAGAAAATTAAAATCACTAGAAAGAAAAGGCAAAATGGGAAGAACAAATAATTCAATTTCACAACTACGTGTTACAAATAAGAAAAAGCAAGAATATATAATAGAGAAGTGCAAGAGGTTAACGTTAATCAAACCTTTTCGTTAAAAAGTGGCGTGAGATCGTTATCATCATTTGAAAATTTGACCAACCGTAAGAGTTCAACATTCTTGAAAATTCGTAGTTCTTCTAAAGAAATGGTAGAATAATATTTAAATTCCAACATTCTTGAAAATTCATAATTGTGCCAACCGTGAGGGTTCCACCATTGATTTCCTATTGATATTTCATACCTTCTAAGCTCTTTGGAAAAGAAACCTTGAGGCAAAACTATGTCATTTGTAACATTTAATGTTAAAGTGGTCAATTGAGTCAAGTGCTCTAACTCCTTGAGTACTTCAACCTTCCACTGAAAACAACATCCCTTCATATATAATTCTTCTAGTTGGAATAGTTTTGATATCACATTTGACGCAATAACTCCTAATTGCCTACAGTTGCTTAAATCCAACAACCTTAGCTGAGTCAATTGACCAAATTCTATAGGCAACTCCTTAATATTAGAATATCGCAAGCTAAGGACCTTTAGTTTCTTTAGATTTCCGATAGTAGAAAAATCTACGATATTGCTATCATCTAAACACAATGTTTGAAGGTCTGTCAGAAGATCAAGTGATGACGGCAATGATGATTGCCGCATTCCAAATAAATTTAGAACCTTGAGCTTTGGCATCACCGTGAAAAATTCCTCAGGGATTTGGTAAGAAGAATCCCACATATTGGTCATATAGAAATATTCAAGATCTGGACAATCTAGATCTTTAGGCCAAACTTCACTAATAACGATACTACTACCAGATAAGGAGATTTTCGTGCATTTCTTGAGTTTATCTTTATTCTTCCATTCCCTTTCAATGTCATTTCTCCCTGTAAATACATGGTGGTCTGTGTATGCAATTGTGACAGCAACAGCACGGATAGCATCATGCATAGAGAATTGTTTGCTGCTTGAACCTTCAAGTAACAAACAAGAGTCTTTGAGTTCACGGACTACTTTATCTAGTCTATTTCGAGCTCTTTCCATAGTGAGGTTATTTCGTTCAAGTACATCCAAATTCACGACATGTTTGAACAAGTCTGAAATGGATGTATCATTTTCCATTAGACTAGAAATCAAAAATGTTTTCCTCAATTCGTCATCTCTTAAATATTTGTAACTCAAGGCAATCTTCTGGTATTCTTTTTCCAATAATCCCTTGAACTTTGTTGGTGAAGGTGCCCTCAATTCTTCCAAAGCATCTTCCCAATCAAATGGACAACTCTTGTTCCTTAATGCTTTTGCTATAGTACAAATGACAATAGGCAAACCACCACATTCCTTGCATACATCTTGTGGCAAAGAATTCAGTCCACGTGTTTGAATTAAACCACCTGCACGGGAAGCTAGGATTATTCTAATTGCATTTCTAGCTATTATCTTATAAATAATACTATTTGTAAAAACTCTTGCATACAATCTTATGTGTCATAAAATGAATGAATGGATACACATAAAAAGTCAACTCATTAAATGCTCAACAAATTAGATGAATGATGCATCAGTTAAAGAGTGGTGACACATAAGATTGTATGAAAGAATTTGTATAAATAGTATTATTTTTTATCTTATTGGACTATTTTATAAATAAAACCATCAATTTTTATGTTTTTTAAATATCTTAAGTAATATTCCTCATTGTTATTTTTCTTTCCACTCTTCATCTCTAAAATCACAGAAATACGTTTGTCTTATCAAGAGCTTTAAGACAGTTTTTTATAGAAAGGAAAAATAAGCTGATGAGAAATGAGGAAATGTAAAATGAAGCTGCCAAGTCAATTCTCATTATTATGAATTTAGGCTGAAACTAACGCCATCTAAGCATTATAGTTTAACTTATGACATCTAACAAAACAAATTCAAATATTAAGAATTAGTTAAAAGCATGCATCTTAATTATTTTTATTTCATCTGTCGACATCTTAAAAAGAGGTGTAACAAATTTCAAAACAGGAGATTGAAGATGTAGAAATAAAAATAGAAATTAAGAGGATGATCTAAGGTGTAAAAAATTTTGTTGAAGGATTGATAAAATCCTATTTATGTAAATATTTATAATTGGAGGCCAGCGAGACAAAGGTAAGTGGTCAACTAGCGCACTCAAAGTTGAATTAATGATGGTGGTGGGTTTGCGAAGTTGCAGCAGTGATGTCGTGTGTATGGAAGGTTACTCTGATTTTTCAAGAGATGGTAGTGAAGACACAGTTGTGATGTTTTGGGTATGGGGTGGTTGACAGTGGCGGCGAAAGACTTGCTATGCTGTGCTGGACACCTGTGGGTTGTGAAGGTAGTTGCGGCAGCCTGTTGGTTGAAGATGGGGTTATCATTATTATTATTATAAAAATTTGTGCAAATACTGAAATACCTTTATCCTGTTTATATTAACATAACGACTGTTAATTGATAAGGACGTAACCATTACTCTCTGATTTCACTGAACCAAATGTTACTTAGGCTAAACCTCAGGAAGAGAGTTTGGTTAGAAAGATGAGTTCAAATAAAATTTGAATAGCTTATTATTAGAAAATAGCCCTAAGTTAGAATTATTTCTGCATATGGAAATTAAACATAGAAATTTGATTGTCAGAATATTTAATTAGAGAATAAATAAAACTTATGTCAAAGGAATTTAAAAAAAATAATAAATTAAATTAAATTTCTTGTTTTTAATATGATGTTATAGAGATGCCCCTAAGCCACCACCACTATTCTATCAGTAGAGTGATTCTACATATTTTGAAAATATTTAATGTTATTACTACTTACTCGCGTCAAACCATAACAAAAATTTTATGTGTTATCAAATTAAAATGAGTTATAACAATTACCTGCCATATTCTTGAATAGCCTCCAAGCTTCTTCTTCATTTAAAATACCCATCCCGAGATTATTTGTGGAACCCATCTTCTCCAATACATCTACGTTTCTTGTTGTCATCAATATTTTATTTCTTCCGCGATCAGCTTCGAAAGGAATTCCAACCATCTTCAAATCTAACTCTTCCCAAATATTATCTACAATTAAAAGGATATTATTTTTCTCCATTCTTGAATACAACTTATTTGCTCTGTCACTCTCACCTTCCCTCTCATCTTCGAATTTGAGACCTAACTTGTTTGCAATTGTTGTTTGAATCTTTCTGATATCCAGAGTTTCTGTTATCTACAAGACAAAGAACCACAAAATAAACAAAATACAATAACAAAAAGAAAATTTTAAACTGATAACTATGCTTTTTATTTTTAAAAAATAATCATCTATTAAATTAAAACTTAATAACAAAGTAGATAAACTGAACTAAGATATATAAAATTAAAAATAAAATAATGAAAACAATGATTTCTTCATAAAAATGAAGAAACAATATTCTATTAATTACTTTTTTCTCGTTAATTATAAATGTCCTTGTTTAGAAGCCTAAAGTCTAATTAATTTCACTCAAATAAAATTAATGATATAAATTAAATACTAATAATTATCACTCTAAATAAATATGCTAATATAATAAAGTGAAACCCCTTAGTTTAAACATTACCTCAACAAAAACAATCTGATCAAAGAGCTTATCCTTCTCGGCTTTCCTACCTATTTCCTGCGCAAGAGTGGTCTTGCCAAGACCACCCATCCCATAAACACCCATCATGTAGATTTTCTCATCTTGTAAAGCATCCCATACATTATTCAAAGTGGAGTTTCTTGATTCGAATGCCAAATAATCTTCATTAGACCTAAGCCATATCTCCTTGTGAATAGTAGGATGGGAAACTTTATCGAATCTTTCTTCTTGCTGCAGGAGTGGACCAATATTATCCACCATTAATTCGGATGCTGCCTTGCTATTTTGGCAGCGAGTCTTGCAGTCAGTGCCAATTGAACTTTGGTTTTCAATCAACTCTTCTGCTTTAACAATGATAGAGTCAACATCCTCTAGCCACTTCTTCACATCCTCTTCAATCTCTTCCACATTGTTTTTAGCCTCCTCAACCTCACGCTGCACTCTGCGTCTTGCATTCTTCAGCTTCAAAACATCATCTCCGAGCTTGACAAAGTTCTTCTTGTAGTCGGATTGTTGAATAGTTGAATAGGAAACTTTAAAGAATCTTTCTTCTTGCTGCAGGAGTGGACCAATATCTTCCACCACCAATTCGGATGCTGCCTTGCTATTTTGGTAGCGCGTCCTCCAGTCAGTGCCAATTAAACTTTGGTTTTCAATCAACTCCTGTGCTTTAACAATGATAGAGTCAACATCCTCTAGCCACTTCTTCACATCCTCTTCAATCTCTTCCCCATTGATTTCAGCCTCCTCAACCTTACGCTGCACTTTGCGTCTAGCATTCTTCAGCTTCAAAACATCATCTCGGAGCTTGACAAAGTTCTTCTCGTAGTTGGATTGTTGAATACTTGAATAGGAAACTTCATCGAATCTTTCTTCTTGCTGCAGGAGTGGACCAATATCATCCCGCTTTAATTTGAATGCCTTCTTGCTATGCTTGTAGCGGTTGATGCAGTTGGGGTGCAATCCCTTGAAACATCGACGGTTTTCTTCTTTCTCTTGAATCAACCTCTCTGCTGCAGTAATGGTATTGTTCACCTTAGTCTGCCAGTCCTTAACGGTCTGTTTGATCTCTTCCCTGTTTATTTCAGCAGCATCGACCTTCACCTGCACTTCGTCTCTTGTATTCTTCAGCTTATCAACTTCTGTTTCAAGATTTTTGAAATTGGTATTGTAGTTGTACAAGTGCATAAATTGACGCCCAATCGGAGCAGCCAACCACTTGCCAACTTGGAGAACAACACTCAAGACACTCGAAATATTCCCAGCAGGTTCCACCATTTTCAACCCTTTTTCAAATTTGAAAAACAGAAGAGAACGAAAGAAAATGAAAATAAAATAGAAATAATAACAGGACAACTAGGGTGCAAACTCAAATAACAGAACAAGAGTAAGGAAAAATGCTGATCCAAAGAAGATCTTTTTTTTTTTTTTTTTTTCTATAAAAGAGAAATAAAGGAACGAGAGAGAAGTGAAAAATCAAGCGATCTGACTTCAGAGTAAAAATATTTGTAGTGGTATCTGAAGGGGTGAGAGAGGCTTCTGAATGAAAGTATGTTTTAGTGATTTCTGAAAGATTGAGAGAGAAGAAAATTGAAGAAGAAGAAGAGAAATAAGAATTGATTCTATCTTTACTGAGAATAAAATAAACTGAAAGGCACGTGCACGCACATGCACATGCACATGCACATGCTCGAGATTATCACCTGCTTCATAAAAAATTAAAAAAAAAAAAGAATTAAATATTGCACGCGCAGTGAAAGACTCAAATTTCAACGAGTACAAAACCATTTAACCAAAGTAGCTAAAGTGCTAATAATAATATGTCGGAGAATGAAGATTAAAGTAGCTAAAGTGCTAATTACCTTCAAAAAGCCAAAGTTTATGGCACAAATTGATAAATGATTCCATTAATTATACAACCACGCCAGGTTATAATCCAATAGTGCATCCACATGTTCAAGAGTAAGCAAATAAGCCCGCTATAAACTATTATGCTATAAAGAAAGACTTGTCATATACTAATATGCTATAAATCCTGTAATTAAGCTGCTTAATTTGAGTTATAAAAGTCATCAACTTAAAGCTTTCATCTGTAAATAATACCTTATTCCCCATAGAGAACCCATTAAAACATATTATATAATACATTTCATTTTCCAAAAAGAGTAATTATAGAACACATCGATTAGTGCCATTTTGAGCTGGCCATGTTTTCTCTAAATATTGTCTGCAATTTTTTATTTTTCATTTTAACTGAAGAATTTGTCAGCTACCTACTCTTTTGTCACGCTTAAAATTGTTTATATTTTGTTATCAAAAAATCTGCATCTGCCAACTTGCTTTTTTTGTTTTTTTAATCACACTATTGCTAGATTGATTTGTACAAACTTGATTTATATATTAACCTTAATTGTAAAGGGTTAAATCTAATTGAGACAATGTTTAGCATTTCTATGAACTATTATTATATAATTTCACGGCCTTTTGAATTCTAGGCTAAGAGCCATTGCCAGGAAGTTACAAAACATCAATGTATAGTTTCAAGGATTTTTTTATTTTATTTTTTTATGGGCGAATCTCAAAAGCACAAATAAACTCTATCATAAACAATAGGAATAATACTTCAAGAAAGGGGAGCTATTGTTTCAAGGATTAATTATTTTTATTTTACTTATGTCAAGTTGGTTACTTATGTCAAGTTGGTAGTGTTTGTGAGGGATGACAATTGATACCCAAATGGAAATGGGAATGGGGACGGAGATGAGGATCCGGCGAGACCCAATTATTGAATATTAGAAAAATTTTAATTTTAATTTCTCTTATTTTATAATTTAATAATGATAATTTTGTAATTGTATTTTTCAATATTAAATATTAAATATTAATAATTAATTTTTTTTATTGTTTTATTCAATTTAAGAATGTAATTGAAAGTGTTTTTATAAAAAAAAAAAAACTTTTATGAGAATTAATAATATTAAAATAATAAATTGAATGATTGTTTTTAATATAATGTTAGAATGAAGATTGTTATCATACCAAAACTCTTAATTCCTTTATTTTTCACTTAAATTGTTATGTGAGAGTAGGAATCTTTAAATAATATTTTTAATATGAAATTAAAAGAATTTATTTCATAATTGATTTTTTCAGAGGATCGGGAACGGGACAATGATGGGATAACAATCCCCATCGCAGCCCAAAAGTAATTTGGGGATGATTTTCCTTCCCAATCCAATCTAATTGTAAATATAAAGAAATCAAAACTGATGGATAAGAAATATGAAGAATTTTTTTATTCTTTTAATTGAGAATTAATAAATGAGATTAATCATTTAATAAATGTTATTTGTAGCATCCTCTTACAGGTGCCTCATCATGAGCTTCACTACTGATTTCTTTAAAGGAGATCAAAGTGAGAATTATAAGTGAGATCAAAGTTTTCTTTAAATTTGTTGGATATCATTGATTCGACCTCTTAATTTAGTAATAGAATGAGCTTCACAACTGATTGATTTATTTATTAGCCTTAATGTTAGCATTTCTTGAAGGGTTTACAACAATTTTCTCCTCCAGTTTTGAGGAAAGTAATAAACACATCCAAAGGTTTTGGATAATAACAAATGCATAAAAAAAAAAAAATTGATTACTTTATCAATAAAAACTATATTACCCTTTGTTTAATTATACATTCTTTTCAATTTTTTACAAAGAAATAAAAGCCAGAAAGAATCTAAAATATTGTTTTGAAAAGATTTTAGTATCCGTTATCTAGTTATACTTCCCTCTCAGGTTTTCTATTTATTTATTGTTTTTATGAATGTAATTTACTTGGATTTTTTATTTTTTAGTTTATTGTATAAAATTAAATAATAATTCAACAATTCATATATTTGTTTTATTTGTAATTTATTACAAAATTGGTTAACAGATATTACTATTTTTAATATTTATTTAGTTAATGAAAATTAAAAAAATAAAACTGAAAAGAATATCTAATTATACAAAATATATTATGGTAAAGTAATCAATTTTTTGGATGCATGTGTTAGTATCCAAGACCCCTCTTGAACCATGAGTAAATTACTGTAAACCCTTTCTTGAACTATTAAATATTTGGATGGAAAGCTTCACGGGTTCTTGAATTCTAGGCTAAAAGCAAGTTCTTTGGCGAATCTCGATGGCACAAGGGAGCTCTATTATAAAGAAAAACAAAAGCACGTTAATAAAGGGGGGACTATTCTTTCAAGGACTGATTATATATATATAGAGTGATGCTATGAGTACTAATGGATGGGTACTAATTTGTGTACTAACTAAAGCATAGTACTATGCTTTAGTTAGTACACAAATTAGTACCCATCCATTAGTACCCAAAGTATTATTCATATATATATACATTGAAGATGGATTAGAAAATTAATAATTGCTGAGTGGCATTTTGAGCTGGCCCTGTTAATTAAAAATATAGTCTGCATTTTTTTAATTAAAGAATCTATTCTTTCAATGTGTGCATATTTTTATCTAAAATTCTGTCAGATGCCAATTTGCTTTTAATTTTGCTAGACACCTGATTGATTAATTTGGACAAGCTTGTTCTATTCATTAGCCTTAATTGTAAAGGGTTGGATCTACTTGAGAAAACATTTAGCATTTCTATCAGCTTTTATTAAATTATACATTTGGACGAAAAGCTTCATGGATTCCTGAACATTAATTTATAATTTCAAGGATTTTTTTTTTAAATTGGCCATCTCGACAGCCAAGGAAGCTTTATCATAAAGAAAAAAAGAAGCACATTAAGAGTATATATATATATACTTTTGTCAAGTTGGTTGTAGTTGCAAAACAACTCAATCCTTGAATTGACGGGATGGGGATCCTGGTGAAGACCTTATCTCCGAGTAATAAAAAATAAAAAAAATTTATTTATTTTATTTTAATATCTTATAATTTTGGAAGTGTGTTTTATTTAATATTAAAAACTGATAATTAATTTTTAATTGTATTTTTCAACTTAAGTATATAATTAATGTTTATGATAATTAATTTTTGGCCGAACGACTTACGCATATCCAAGATTTACTAAAATGACAAGTTGATACCCAAAAGGTTTTGAAATGACAAATAGGTACCTTCCATCAGGTTCTGTTAGTGATTTTCGTTTGATAATAGTGAAAAGACTAAAATGCCCTTGAACGTTTAATATTTTAGGTTTTTATAAATTTCTAAAAAACCCCCTAGGTTTGCTAATTTGACTAAATACCCCAATATATAAAAATTTTATAAAATAACAAAAACACTCCCGTCACCCGCAGTGCCAGATTCCGGCCACCATCGCCGGAATCAGGCCGGAAAATTGTGTCACGACACAAATCCATCGGATATGTGTCGTAACGCGTATATCTAACATTTTCCGGCAAGATCTGTGGCTGATCTGACCGGAAAATGCCAGATCTACGGCCAGATCTGGCCGTCGAGGCCGAAAAGTTGTCAGAAAATCGCGTTATGACACAGACCCATCTGATCTGTGTCGTAACACGTCGATCTGGTATTTTTCGGCTAGATCAGTGGAGGATCTGGCTGGAAAAGGCCAGATCTGGCTGTCGAGGCCGAAAAAGTCTAGACGTAGATCTGGCCTTTTCCGGCCAGATCGACGTGTTACGACACAGATCCAATGGGTCTGTGTCGTAACACAATTTTCCAGCCAGATTCCGGCGGTGGTGGCCAGAATCTGGCACTGCAGGTGGTGGGGATGTTTTTGTTATTTTATAAAATTTTTATATATTGGGGTATTTAGACAAATTAGCAAACCTAGGGGGTTTCTTAGAAATTTTTAAATTTATAAAAACCGAAAATATTAAACTTTCAAGGGCATTTTAGTCTTTTCACTATTGTCAAACGAAAATCAGTAACAGAACCTGACGGAAGGTACCTATTTATCGTTTCAAAACCTTTTGGGTACCAACTTGTCGTTTAGGCAAACCTTGGGTATGTGTAAGTCGTTCTGCCTTTGGAAATATTGAACTAACATATTATTGAACCCTCACCTATAAGCTTAAGACAAAAGTCTATTGACCTAATATAGTATTTCACGTATCGTAAACTATGCATTGGTCCTACGTAATGCTTTTAAATTTAGAACATAAAAAAGATTTCAAGGATATCTATTTTTTTGCCTAACTTTCTTTTTTATGTTCTCCACTACTCAATTCGGTCACTTGTTAAACAACAGCTAAAAATTTAATAAAAGAAATTTGACCCAGCTAATTTATTAT